CTACAAGCATGCTTAGTGTGAGGGATTGCTGAAGAGTCAATGAGTCGATGCAATCAGCTGATTTTCCTTAGATTTATTATTAACTAAATTAATTTAGCAGGAAAAAAAAAAAAAACGGCACATTGGAGAAAACTAAAGATTTATCTGTTGTTCAGCTGCAGAAATTCATGACCAGCATTTCAAACTAAATTCATTAAGAACCATTAAGCCCAGTTAGGGGCTGGAGTCTGTACCTGTTCCTGGGTCGGTCATGTGACGGAGGGCTGTAGAAAGCCTCAACAGCAGCTAGCAGCCGATCGCTGGGGGGCATCGGAGGGGGTAACCGGATATCCTTGGGGTCCAAAGGTTTGTAATCACAGTCCTCAAGCTGTGGAAAACCATACAAGCACTTTAAATGATTCACACTTTGGTGTTTAAATGACAAATTAAACTGGAAATAGACACCTTTGAGCTAAATTCAAAAAATCATTTGGGAGAAATCTTAGCTGCTGATTTATCTAAGCCTGAACATTTCCATCTATGATTCATTCTGGTTTCATTAGTGGTGGACAAAGTGCTCAACAGTAGTACTTAAGTAAAAGTACTAATACTCATGGTCAAAGTTTACTCAACTACAAGTAAAAGTTCATCAATAATCTACTCAACTTAATGTGTTGAAGTACTCACTTTAGAAAATAGTGAAGTATTCAAAACCAAAGATTACAATTAAAATTTTATAGAACCTGTAACCTGATGTTTTGATCATAGAACTACCTGCTATAGATTCTACACCACCTGGAAAGAACTGAGGTATAAAAATACCACAAAAATAAGGACAGATACTTGGATTATTATTTCCTAATTAAAAACAAAACAAAATTTAAACAGTTAAACAGAATCTTGATTCTCCTCAAACTGTCACAGTAAAATAGAGTTTTAAGGTTGAATCTGGGGCTGAAACAATTAATCGCGACTAATCGACTATTGAAATAATCGTCAATCAATTTAGTAATTGATTAATCGTTAACCGGAGTATAGAGTTTTTAAAACCTGCCTTTAGCTGACGGAGAGACCCGCTTAGAGCAGGAATTATGCAAAATTGTAAAAAAAAAATTATATATATAAACTAGGGGTGGAAAGATTCACAAAATCCAGGGTTCGGTTCGATTCACGGTTTCTGGTCACAGTTTTCGGTTCGATACATGTTGATTGTTACACCAAAATCCCATAAAAATTTATGAAATTAATGAAAAAATCCCCCAAAAAATAATGGATTGTAATTATTTTTAATGATCCGCGGAAACCCTGGATCATTTCCGCATGTTTTGCTGCTTTGAATTTAATCATCTGG